TTTTTGATGAAGAGATTACTAAATACACTACTATTGTGTACACCGGTTTCCCTAATTTTCAAGATCCCAAAAAATGTGCAAAGAATAAGGAATTATTGAAAGAAAATAATAAAGAAATGGCCGAAATAATTGAAAGTTGTGGGGAGAAAATTATTCACGTTAGCAACCCACCAATAGATTTAGAAGATGAAGATGAGGTAGAACTTGGTTTAAAAAAACGAGCAAAGTCAAGGACTGTTTTGTTGACTTACCTACATAAATTATGTATGGGAATAGAAAAACCTTACAAGCCCAAGAATTTAGACGAATTAAATGATAAAATTAAAAACTATATGACAGAAAAAGAACTCCTCCAAAAGCAATTAGATGAAATGAAAAATTTAAGTGAAGAACAAAGAAAAGCACTTCAAAAAGAGATAGCCAACTTGCAAGAACAAATTGCTCTCCAAACCCAACAATTTCTCCAAAAAAAAGGATGGTTTCAAAAGGCAGGAGCAGTGATAGGAGAAGGTGTTGACAATACAATTGAAGTAGCAGGAAAAGTGATTGGGGTAGTAGGAGAGGCCGTAGGAAACACGGTTGAAAGAGTATTAATTCGTCCTATTGATAAGTTAGTTGATAATTGTCGAATAATGTAAAAGTATAGTTATGCCAAAAACAATTATTGCCAATTTTGGTGAATGGTTTGATGGTCTTAACCTTTTTGACGACAAGGAGGAGAGAGAAAGCGAAGTAGGCATAAAGTGGCGGGGATTAAGTGTCTCTGCCCCCTTAAAAGAAAAAATCTATATTTTTAGAGATGAATCTGTCGCTCCACAAGGGGAATTGAAATTAGAAAATTTTCCTTGTGATATTTGAGAATTAAACCTTGCAGGAACTCATATTAGCGAAGTTGACCTTAGTAATTGCGAAGAATTAAGAGACTTAAATATCGTTTGTAATGTAAATATCACTAGTGTTGATTTTCTTCGCACCTTACCTCGTCCGGAAAAATTAAAAAGTTTAGAAATTAAAGGTAATAATATTCAACCAACCACCTTAGATTTTTTGCGACCTTTCGTTAATTTGGAACGTTTAGATATTAGTGAAATGAGTGGTGGCAACCCAAGGCAAAGGAAGACTCATAGCCAATTTTATGGTTCTTTGGAGCCATTAAAAGGTTTGTCTAAACTTTATCACTTGAATATAACCGACACGGACATTGATAGCGGATGAGAACATTTGCCAGCTAGTATCAGAAAAGATTGTTTTTGGTGCAAGCCAGCATCAAGACCCGAGGCTAAATCAAAAAAAATCTACGAGGCGGTAAAAAATGATGAACGTTTTTTTTCCAAAAGGGATGAGAGAAGTTTAAGTGAAAGGATTGATGATTACATAAGGCGGGGGCAAAAGAGAAGAGAAGGAAGAGAAAGCGAGCAGCCTTCGTCCTCTTCTCCTCCAAGACAAAATCCGGAAAATTCAGAAGGGGAAAACCACCAGCCAGACAAAACTCCGGAAAAAAGTACTTTTCATGGGCCAAGTTTTTTTT